AGGGACAAAGAGAGAGCGAGGGTCTTCTTCAAACCACTATCTTACTTCACTAGCTAAACCCTAAAAGTAGGCCTAGCTTTCGCCAACAAGTAATGGATTGTGTGGTCACTAGTGATAGGTCTTTTTTTCCTAATTTGTCAACCATTTTATCCCAACAAGCAAACCTCTTTTGTCTCAGGCGTCTCTTTCTTCGTGGGCAAGTTATTGGGAGAGACACTTATAGGAAAAAAGAAAGAAAGAAAGAGAAACAAAGTTTTTGCGAGACTTAACCCTACTAAATAAAATTCAAAAGCTCCCAAAAAGGTTAAAATTTTATTTGCTTTTTGGGGGAGATTGATTTGCACATGTGTGGGCTTGCCAAGATATAAAGTTTGTGGTATCCTCGAGAATAGTATTGAAATTGATGTGACCATCACTGATATGACTCTGTCTACCGACTCCTTCAAATTATGTTTTGCATTCGAGTCCGTGAAGAAAATCTAATCAAATATAAATTTAAAATTCAAATAGGACTTGTGATTTGACGTTCGAACGAGAAAGAAATCCTCAAAGTACTTGTTTCGTTGGAGTTGGACTCCTAGTTTGAGTCGCAAGTCACCCATAAATATTTAAATACATAATTGTACTTTGCAAGCAGAACAGTCTTTTAGGGCATTGTGAAAGTAACGACATGTTGTGAATCACAAATTCTTGAACGAGCACTCCATAATAATTTATAATTATTTCTTACACAATAGATTAAAGATTGTCACCCAATCATTTCTCTACATAATTTTATCCGGTTATTACCCACTAGAGCAAATAAGAGATATGTTGGGGTTTTCAATTTTTGAGATTTCTACTGAGTTTTCTATGAGAGATTATGAAACAGCACTTGTAATTTTTACTTTGGATATAACCTAAGGCTGAGAAATATTTTAGCTACTAAGCGATTTTAAACTCTGTATTCTTAGCATTTATAGTGGATGTCTTGATAGTTGACTCTTTCCATGGAGTAGGTACCAACACCTACATCGGACCACGTAAATAACTAGTGCTTTATATCGTTTTTTGTTAATTTATCTAGTAATTTCTTGCAAGAGGAACTCATTTTTTTTTTTAAAAAGTTCTTAATGGACTTAACCTACTAGTTAAAATATAAAAGCTCCAAAAAGGTAGTAATTTTATTTGCTTTTTGGGGGGAGATTGATTTGCACATGTTTGGGCTTGCCAAGATATAAAGTTCATGATATCCTCAAGGATAGTACTGTAATTGATGTGATCATCATACAACGGGATAATTATCTAAAAAATCCTAAACCTATTGCATTTTTGCCAATTCAGTCATAAACCTTTCAACTTTACCAATTGAGTCTTAAACCTTTTCATTTTTTGCTAATTGAGTCCATCCGGCCAATTTTGGCCGGAAATCGCTGACGTGGACGCCAAACGGCCACGTGGCATTGACGTGGACATTTTAAAATAATATTTTAATAATTTTACGATTTTTTATGTTTTTTTCTCTTTTTTTTCCCTTTTCTCTAGGTTTTTTTTTCAGGGTTTTGAAATTAGGGCCGGTGAGGGTGGCTGGACAACCCTCGTCGACTCTAGGCGAGGGCCGGCTAACCCTCACCGGCTCTGGGCAAGGGCCGCGACGCCCTCGCCGGCCAAAGCGATGGGCGCGCAAGCCCTTGCCTAGATCCGGCGAGGGCTTGGCAGCCCTCGCCAACCCTATGCAAGAGCGTGGGGCCAAAGCGAGGCTGCCAAGTGCCTTGCCTGGCCAGATCTGATGAGGGCTTTGCAACCCTCGCCGGATCTGGGCGAGGGCTCGCGTGCCCTCGCTTTGGCCGGCAAGGGTCGGCCAGCCACCCTCGCCGGCCCTAACTTCAGAATACATATAAAAAAAAAAGAGAGAAAAGGAAAAAAAAAAAGAGAGAGAAAAAAACATAAAAAATTCATTAATTATTAAAATATTATTTCAAAATGTCCACGTCAGCGCCACTTGGCCATCCGGGATCCACGTCAACAATTTCCAGTAAAAATTGGCCGGATGGACTCAATTGATAAGAAATGAAAAGGTTTAGGACTCAATTAGCAAAGTTGAAAGGTTTAGGACTGAATTGGCAAAAGTGCAATAGGTTGAAGATTTTTTGGACAATTGTCCCATCATACAACTCAAGTTAACCTTTGTTAAATTACATCATATCTCGAGTTTGAATCTATGACGAAAACCCCCCTTTCGCGTAGCAATTCCAAACCCTTATAGGACTTATGATTTGACGTGTGAATAGGTAAAAAAAATTATTGGAATACTTTTTACGTTGAAAGTGAATTCATAGTTTGAGTAGATTTTGTAGTTTAAATCGGTCAGTCACCTAAGAACGTGATACTATACACTAGAACAAAATAAGATGACTATTATGGTTTTCTCTCTATGAGTTTGCTTAGTGAGTTAGCTGCGAGAGATTATGAAATAACACCTGTGGGCTTTACTTTTGGTGAAATCTAGGGCTCAAAAACACTTAGCAATTTGACCGATTGTAAACTCCATACTCTCTAGATTCATAGTGGATGTCTTGGTGGCCGACTCTTTCTGAGAAGTAGATACTGACAACCTCGGATGGAACCATATATATCTCTGGTACTGTTTATCGTTCCTCATTGATTACTCATGTAGTTTCTTCTCCTCAAGTTAGATTTTAATTATAAGATCCGTTAGTTTCCTCGTTTATTAATGTCAACCTCTATAGTCGAACTTGGAATTTCCACTCTTATAAGATCAAAGATGGAAAAAAAAAAATGGGCCTAGTCACTTCTTGTACTAGCCAGTCACTTTTTTTGACCTTGTCAAAGGTTAAAAGAGAGTTAGGTTGGACAGGCCAAAGCGGCAGCCCTCGATTTGACTCTTGACTATTAAACTCGAGAGTAGTCAGTGGAAGCATTAATATGGATAAATCAAGGTCGTTTTCAATACTTCGGTGACGGAACTTATCAGAATACAGAAAATTCTTAGCTTCCATCTTGCTTTTTAGGCAATCTTATGTGTTGTTACATTAGAACGTACGAAAAGAGTGAGGGGGTTCAAACTCAGGCAACAAGGTTCCAATCTTTTTGGGCCGACAGCTAGGTGGTCCAACTTCCAAGTTATGAAAGCCTCTGCGACAGCTCAAACTTTTAAGTTTTACTTTTGCTGTCACCAATGATGCTCACTTTCAGCCATTGTTGCTATCATAATTCAGAAAAAGGGATAATCACATAAATGAATGATCCGTGCACTTTGGCCCAATGTGCAATATCGTCCCCGCATTTTGTAATTTATTCAATGTGGTCAGCGAACTTCTGGTAGATGTTCAATTTAGCTCCCGGAGTACATGAAAATGTTCAATGGCGTTCTTCCATTAATTCAAGTTAATGGAATTTGGTGATTTAGCTCTCAATTCGGTGACTTTGAATGTGGATCATCCACGTAAGATATTTAACTCAAATCAAGATGTAAATTGTGCTTTCTGTGAATTGTTGCACAATTTGTAAGTAAATAATCTCTATAAACATTTAAACATAAGAAAAATTCACATTAATATATTTATATGAGAAAATTCTAAAGTTGACATAACACCAGTCATTTTGAACAATTTTTATGATAGAATTATTAACGCAATATTTTGACCTACTATATCTCGTTTTGTTATTTACTAAGCCTCAAGTGCACATAATTAGGTTTTAATTTCAGCGTTCGTATTTGTATGTAAATATAAAATAGGGCGAGTGTCCTTAGGACATTGATTGAGTTTACTTTACTTGGAACAATTCAATTTTCAAGACACTAATCATATATATAACACGAGGGCAATAATCAGTACCCTAAAACCCGTAAAAATTTTCTCGAATTGGTTGCTTAACTAATGCCCCGGAGGCGTTCTTTACTATGTTGATATCAAGGTAGAAAAATTTCTATCCTATAAAAGGAGTTACACATGGAATAAAGACATGATGAAGAAAGGGGAAGGAGGGGGACAAACAAATGTAATAAAAAAAAGGGATATGTTCATTAGAAGTCTTATAACTTGTCACCAAAGTGCAATTAAGTTTTAAAACTTGCAAAAAGTACAATCAAGTCCTAAAACTTGTTAAATTTGTTCAAATGATCCTAAAGTTAATACCGTCAAACTTACTAACGGAAAATGCTGACATGACGCTGACGTGGCTTATTTTAATGGTTTATCTCTCCTACGTGGTGATGACGTGATTAAAATGACGTCGTTTTAGCCCAAATTTGATTTTTAATACTACTTTTATTTAAATTAAATTTAAAAAATAAGCTAAAAAAAAAACCCTCCCCGCCTATCCTCCTCCTTCCCTTTTTAAAATTTTTTAAATTTTAGCTTAGTTTTAAAATTTAATTTAAATAAAATTAATATTTAAATAATGATTAAAGAAAAGCCACGTCATCACCACGTAGGATATAAAAAAAAAAGCCACATCAGCTTTTTCCGTTAGTCAAATTGGACGGTGTTAACTTTAAGACTCGATTGAACCAATTTGACAAGTTTTAGGACTCGATTGCATATTTTGCAAGTTTTAGGACTCAATCGCACTTTGGTGACAAGTTTTAGGACTTCTAATAAACATATCCCAAAAAAAGAGGAGTAATGGTTGACTCCGGGCCCACTGGAACTTGGGCTTTATCCAGCAAAAGAGGCCCATTTGATTTTAGAGGCCCAAGTCGTCGTCGTCACTTCCGCATCTCGAAGGGCTTTTCGGTAAAATCCGCCCTCCGCAACCCAAAACCATCAGGACCGAAGCGCGCTCATATCCCCCCCCCCATTCAAAAAACACTCCACGCCAAAGCTCCTCCCCCTTTCCTCCATCTCGCACTTCCCTCCTCCAGATTTCTGCAGCAGAGAAGAAGAAGAAGAAGAAGAAGGAGGAGGAGGAGACGATCGGCGCCGGCGGGAGCAGCAGATCGGTCCTCTCTCCCCTCCTACATCCGCCGCTCGCCCGCCCGCCCGCTCGCTCGCTCTCGCTGTGCGCGTCTCCGTGTGTCGGGGAGAGTGGGGGGGAAGAGATGGAGAAGATATGCGTGGCGGTGAGAGTGCGGCCGTTCGTGGCGGCGGCGGAGGAGCCCTTCAACGGCACCTTCTGGAAGGTCGAGGACAACCGCGTCTCCCTCCACCGGCCTCACGGCACTCCCGTCTCCGGCCTCTCCTTTGCCTTCGGTACTGATATTTTTCTTCCTGTTTTTTTTTTTTTGGCCCGATCTTGTTCTTTCTTCTCCTTTCTCTTCTCCCGTTTTCCCGGGGTTTAATCCGCTCGCCGAAATTTCGAATCTTTTCGCGTTTTCGATTCGGTCCCCGGCGTCGCCCAGATCACATCTTCGACGAGAGCTGCACGAACGCCGCGGTGTACGAGCTCCTCACCAAGGACGTGATCCGCGCCGCGGTCGAGGGCTTCAACGGTACGCCGGCTTTCGCTAAGATTTTTCTGTGAGGATGAATGTTTCTTTTAGGTTGAAGAGTGTAATTATATGGTTCCCCTCAATTTTTGCAAAGTGGTAGTTTCTTCTATGGAATTGAGGTGGAGCTTAGTGTCTGTCTTGGATATAATCTCAGGAACGGCATTTGCATATGGACAGACCAGCAGCGGGAAGACTTTCACGATGAATGGCTCGGACGCTGACCCTGGAATTATCCGCCTCGCTGTTAGAGATGTATTTGAGAAAATAAACACGGTAATGCCCATATAGCGCGACTTCCGTAGCTGATAATTGGCTACTCGTGTCCTGCTCATACGCTTGTTATAAGTCTCTCGACATGTTCTTAAATGCGGTTCCGGATGGGCCTTTTGTTACCAGATGTCGGACCGCGAGTTTCTTATCCGTGTGTCCTACATGGAGATATACAACGAAGAGATAAATGACCTTCTTGCTGTGGAGAACCAGAAATTGCAGATACATGAAAGCTTAGAGGTGTGGACGGTTCAAAGTTTTGGATTAGTCTAGATAATTTCTTTGAACAAATTGAATAACCTCTTTTTTTTTTCCGGTTTTCTTGTTTTGTAGAGAGGCATTTTTGTCGCAGGCCTTAAAGAGGCAATTGTCAACAATGAGGATCAAGTGCTTAAGCTTATAGAGTCAGGAGAAGGTTTGTCTAAAAGCACTAAAGAAACCAAGTCCTTCACTTTGTTTTGGTATTAGAAACTGAGCATAGTTTCTTACAGTCAATAGACACTTTGGCGAAACCAACATGAATGCTCGGAGCAGTCGATCTCACACGATATTTAGAATGGTATTTCTCAGCAATCAAAGCTTTTCGTGTGGCCATTTTCACTTTCCTCGGATTTATTCATACTGGTACAAATGGAAACTTTGCATTTTAGGTCATCGAAAGCAGAGCGAAAGACATAAGTTGCGATAACTCAACCTCCGATACTATCCGAGTCTCAGTCTTGGTTTGTAATTCTTTGTCTAGTGAAGCTAAGATGCAACCGTCTATGTTATTCAATCACCAGTCCTATTAAATATCTTTGTTTGAATCTAGAACTTGGTGGATTTGGCCGGCTCTGAGCGTATTGCAAAAACTGGAGCTGGTGGAGTGCGTCTTAAGGAAGGGAAGCACATTAACAAAAGCTTAATGGTTTTGGGTAATGTCATCAACAAACTAAGTGAAGGTGCCAAGCAGAGGTAATTACTCCTCTTGTGTTTCTTCTAGTTTTATATTAAACTATATTTTACTAATCTGTGCAATTTATAATGCAGAGGACATATCCCTTATCGCGATAGTAAGCTTACTCGCATTCTACAACCTGCTCTTGGTGGTAATGCGAAGACTTCAATTATATGCACTATAGCTCCAGAAGAGGTACCATGAGGCAGCTATAGATGTCTCTTATGTCTTTTTCCTGTCTTGATGGTTGCAAAGCTTGGATGATGTTATCTAACCCAGCTGATAAAGTATGTGACTTTATACAGGTTCACATTGAAGAAACAAAAGGTACTCTTCAGTTTGCTAGCAGAGCCAAGCGCATTATAAACTGCGCTCAAGTAAACGAGGTACTAATCTTCATGTAGAAATACCCGTTTTATCACCTCAAATAAATTCCATTTCTTGGAAAACCATTCTTTGAGATCATGACACTAGAAGTTTCTAGGATAATACACTGTCTTTGGTAATATTCTACAAGCTTCGTTGGGGTCAAGTGATTCAAGTGATTTGGAAGATTGGACAGTTCATATTTTCTTGTTTGGATCCTTGAGTTTCCTGTGCAGGAATGAATTAATTTACTAGGTACTACACCTGCGGGAAATCTTTTTGTCCAGGATTCTGAGGTTCTTAACAAATGTAAGGTCATGAAACAACAACGTACAGCAGAAGACTTGTGCAAATTGAAATTATTGAGGCCATCAAGAAGAGATTACATATGCTTGTCCTGTTGGGTTGTTCAGACAAAGTTTTATTTTTCAGGAGTGACATCTTTCTATTATCCAAAAGAATGGAATAAAATCTATACCTGGAAGTTAAGGTCATTAATTCAGCTAACCTCAATGCCATGACATTCAAGTTACACGATTTTTTGTGTATTGGGCTACCTCTATTGCAATACCCTCGTCATTGATTATGCAAGTTCCCATCCTTTTTCTTTTCCTTGATTGGTTCATTTCAGCTAATTATTGTTGAAATTGTCTTAGATTTTGACAGATGCTGCCTTACTGAAGAGACAAAAGTTAGAGATAGAGGAGTTGCGTAAGAAACTTCAGGTGAGGGGCATTACTGCTAGTACTTCAATTAATTAGACTTTGCACAATTTGACTTGAAGAGTTCTTTAGGGATCTCGTGGTGAAGTGCTGGAGCAAGAAATTCTTAAATTGCGGAATGAAATGCTTAAGGTAGGTTTTTCCTCTTTTGAAGTTTTGGCTGTCGTCTGAAAATGGTGGATATGTTAATTTTAGCATTCACTTGTTAGCATACCTGTTTTTCTCTAGTACGAAGTAGAGCGTGAGAAACTCGAAATGGAGCTAGAAGAGGAGAGGAAGTCGCATAAAATACGTGAAGAATGCATCAGGGAGCAACAGATGAAGATTGACAACCTTAGTACTCTTCTCACCTGCTCTGACTACGATAGGAACTCTAGCCAGGTATAGTTATATGCGACCGACAAAGAATCTTTAAATTCACTATAGATGCCCTTCCAGCTCTGTATTTCTTTATTTAACTGCCTTATTGTATCACTACTTTGTTCTATTCTCTCTATCACAGTTCAATTCTGATGCGACGATTCAGATGACCTATCTCGTAATATTCAAGCATGCGATTCCACATAGGGCAATCCCATAATGCCAGACAATGCTTTCCCTTTGTGAATGTACCAATGTGAATTCATTTTATGAAATGCATTGCTTTGCCAATATATCATTTAGGTAGGATAATCCACTTTGCTGCAGAAAAGGGTGGTGGCTGTAGAACGTGCATGCTTAACATAATGTGATATTCAAGATTTTCAGGAGCATTGCTTCTGGTACTATTGAGAATCCAATCGAGAGTTGGTAATACAGTGTGCAAAGTACAGCCACTCCTGCTCATGCAACTACCTGCGTGGACTAATGCGCTTCTCCAAAATTACTAGTTCATACATGAACTTTTGCCTGATCATGAATATGCTTCGAGGAACTTGTCTTGTATCTCACTATTGTTGCAACACGATAATGAGGGTTTCTCCACTTCTTGGGACAGGATTCTGCAAAAGATAGCCTTATGGATGAATTTAATGACAGCAACAGTATTTGCCAAAGCGACTTCAGAACACCTTGCCAAAAGGCAGTTCCTGGTAATTATGTTGTCAAGCGATCAAACTACTCGCGGCTGGTTGAATGCAGCCCACTTCCAGATCCACCAAACAATGTTGTTGATGAAGATACGTGGTTCCAAATGAATAAAGGTTACATAGCTGACCTGGAATCAATCCACATGACTCCTGCTAGAAAAGTTCAATCCTTCCCTCCAGCTAATGAGACTCCAGTGAGTTACTTTCATTCATTTATCTTCACTCAGATTTTCATCCTCAGGAACCCTCCAGCCATTTGGTTTTTGAAAACAATTATTGTTAATTTTTTAAAAGTTTTCTCTTTATTCAAAATTTCATTAAGCTCTCAAAATGATATCAAGAGACTGGGCTATGACCTTTTTAACTTACTTCGCTTTGGAGAAGCTTTCTATTACATTTGCATTTGCACACTTACTTTTTTAGGGCACGGATGAGAGCTACAGAAAAGAGCTTGAAGACCTCAGGAGACAACTAGAACTTGCTGTTGGAGAGAAAGATGATCTTAAGGTTAGTATGGACCACGAAACAGTTCTCGTTCAGCTATTTTTGGAATCTCAAATGCAATCATAGCTATTCTCTTCAAAGACCCATTTTTTCTCTTAAGATGAGTCGTCATATAAGCTTTTCAGCCCATCCCCTAATTTCATTCAGCAATTTTTCTTTTCATACATTGCTTCCTCGAGAGAATAATTCCTCTTATTACAAGCAACTTTACCGCTTCACCAAGATTAATCAATAAGAATCTTAAGTTGTACGTCCGCTGTTGTGGCAGCACAGTTCTTTGAATTTGCTGCTTCTTTATTAAAGATCAGAATGAAAACATTTAGCATCTGGCCTGAATTATCTGCCGCTTGCTCTTTTTTCTCAAATCAGAGTGAAAATTGTTTAGCCTCTTTGGGTTGACTTGATGTAGTCATGTCATGCTGCCAATGGAACTAGAACTGACTTGCTATTGGTCAGTCTAAATTTTGGGCTTTTTCCTTTCTTTTCTTTTTTTCGGTAGGGTGGTAGGCGGCGGTTCGCAAACTTACAGTACATGAGCATATTCAATCACTGCTCAGAGTTATACTACCCAGAAATTGATTCCTTTTTTAATGTGTAGATATAATCAACAATCAGTGGCCGGGCTCTGTCATATTTTGATGATTCTGTGAAATGAGTATTTACTGCACCACACACCATTATATCGGGAAGTCAGGGACTCACTAATTTGTTGGGGTGATTAACATGAAAATACTTAAAACGTTTGCTTGTGATAGCAATGGTGGAGAGATGTGGATACTATGGCATGGTAACTCTAGATTTTCCTTGCTTTCACATTGTAAAACTCTATTATGGTATCTCGCCAAAGTCATTATAGAGATAACTTAGATGTAGTTTGTTTTCCTTCTTGTGAAGGTTGCTGTCTGATGTGTCTTATTTGAATCTTCTGTTTATGCTTGAGTTTACACTTACTCTCCTGTTCAACAGAGAAAACACATGGAACAAGTCCAACTGAATAAGCAATTGATTCAGGAGATTTCCGAACTGCAAAAAGAAGCTCATGTTTTTCAAGAGATTCCTAAAAGACTGACCGAGTCAGTTGTAAACTGCAAAGATGTACATGCGGATGTTCTATCCATTCTGCAGGTGAAACATACAACATCAAATTTACCCACCCCCCCCCCACAACCCAAAACACACACACACACCAAAAAAAAGAGTTACGAGCCTAGGTTATTGGCTCGTCATCAATATGTATGTCCTTTACTTTTGGGGATGATTAATTCTGACAGTCATTACTTCGACTTTTTTGTTGTATTGGCAGAGTTTTGTTGGTGATGGGAAATCTTCAGCTGGAAGGTTGCTTTCCAACACTGGTGACATTGGCAACATTCTTTTTTCTACTCTGGAAGCCCATTTCTCAATGTTTATGGAGGACCACAGATTATGCTCCGAGGACGATTCATCATTGCAAGAACATTGCAGAAAGCTCTGTGAAAAATTAAATGATACAGTTCTATCACTAGCATCAGAGCCACCATCAACTGAAAGTGAACATGGGAGGAGCTTTTCATGCAACTTGGCGCACAAGGTAGATGTCAAGTCAACACTATTGAGATATCACTTGTCACTGGTTGTTTTATTTTCCATCTTGATGCTAGGATATTATTTCTTTTGACATGATAGCATGTCTCCATATGCTGCGGAATAATGATTTACTGGAAAATAAGGCCAATCCGGAACTCATAGCTGAGTTACGGATGAATTTGGCAAAACCTGTGTGCTTTTTCTCCTCTTTGTAGTGTTATCTGATCAACTTCCCATTGGCTTTGTTTATTTGCATAAAACATCTGAGGTTGTCAATTTGGACATAGCTTTATTTCTTTTACTTGAAAGTGTCGTTTATAAAAGATGCAACTATTTTTATGTTGGGAGGTTGAAGAAACTCATGAAATTATTATCCTACTGAATCAAATTCTAGATGAAGTACTAGTTCTAATATAACACATCTGTATGATCATGTATATTTTGTCTTTAAGGCAAGGCTGTCAATATGGTTATTATTTTTTATTTCCGGCTACTAGTTTTGCTTCACATAGCACAAACTTTTTCACCAGAGTCAATCTTTCCATTAATTTTGTTTTTCAACAAAGAGAAAACTAAGAGCGCTATTCTTGATTTTCGTCAAACTTTCAAAGGCAGTGTTTATTAGAACTTTAACTGAGCAAGTGATAGGATGTCTTGGTTGAATCTTGTTAAGATTCTAGTTTTGTTATTTGATAAGGATGGTGACCTGGGAGGAGAAATGGCCGTCTGCAAGGAAAATTTGATTGCTGAAATCAATGCAATCAAGGATAAGTACCATGGCATTCAGAAAGAATTAGATGAAAGTAACCAGCTTTTGGGGGTTTCCAGAGACAAGTATTGTAGATTGGAAAGAGATTTCCAGTTGTTGAAAGAAGAAAGAGATTCATTGCTCCAATCGGTCTCTGAGTCTACTAGTAAAGTTTCATTGGCTACTGATCAGAGAGAAAATGTTCTGAAGGACTTGAATTGTGAAGTACGGAGAAGAAAGAATCTTGAAGGAGAGATTAAAAAGTTCAGTATGGCTTTTGTTGGGCGGCAGAATTCGTTAGCTTCTATACAGAGTGAAGTAAGATTGAAGCTAGAGAAGATGAGTGATGGTAATACAATTTCAGTTCCCAAATCTCTTAGGGACTTGTGACATGAGTCGATGCTAACAGAATGTGCGGTGCAGTTCCTCGTAATATCAATTCTATTGTATCATTACATTATTGGTGACCCCCTTTATTTACTGAATTAGTATGCCTTATTTTACATAGTCTAACTCAATATTTTCTACCTTTTTATGGTGCTACTTTGCACACCAGACTAGTAGTAGAGTTAAATGATACTGTCGTTTCCTCTGAGCTTTCCTTTTGAAAACAAGCTTGCAGCTGCTAGACCATTTCTCATCCAATATGGCTCTGATTTTCTGCTATATCAACATTCTAGCTGAAATGACACGGTTTTGAAGGCAAATCGGTTATCTATGAAAGAAAGCAGCATAGGAGACTAACGTCAATCTTCCATTTACTGGGACACTTATCTCGCACAAAGTTAAAGGTCTTCGGCTGTCAATTATTCTGCAGTCCCAGATTCTATCCTGACTTTGCAATTTTAGTCAAATTATCTCCTGAACTTGTATCTTCAACGGGGTTTTTTCACACAATGAGGATAAGCTAATCGCAGTATCAAACCTATGGCGATTGAAGAGGCAGTTCATAGACTCATCTTTCATCTTTCGAGGATACGTGCTTGCATGTGCTTCAGCCATAGGTGTTTCTTATGTGGGGAATGTGCACGTAGGCAGCAAATCACAGGCATTACAAATGAATCATACAAACTTATGTTGTCCAGTGTCTCCAGTGACTGCTTCTTTTTCAACAGTCGTGTCTTGACATATAAGATGACGAACAGTTTTGGCTTACTTGATCCTTCCCCCCGCCGGCCCCCACCTCCCACCCCACCTCCCGCCCCCCCTCCCCCCCCGGGCATCGCCCCATGTTAGGACAAAGTCCTCTTTAAATACAAGAAGCACAGCAAACCAGCTGAAAGCCTAACCAACTTTTATCCTTTTTCTTGTGGGTGTGATCAGGACCACATGGGGGTCTCTGCTTTCGATAAGCACAACATTAGTCATTGTTAACCCAAAGAATCAGACCAAAATAAGTGTTCATTTTCATGGTGGGACGTGCGAATGCTATCACCCCAAAAAGTGGCACGCACTTTTGGCCCCACTTGGCCTTTTTAGGAGGTCATTAAGAGGTGTTTGAGGTGAAATTGATGGTGATGGAGATAAGGCCACCAGCTTCCATTTGCTCATTAGTAGGCACTCAAAGGCCCACGTCAATTGATAGCAGCAGAGAGAGATGGGAAGTGCCAATTCATCTGACCAGTACCCCTCATTCTCGAGAGTCTACATTCCCTCCATTTCTTTCTCGAAAGGCATATTTGACACTCTCCCTTCGGTTTCCAATTTCTTCTTTTCTTTTGGCCCCTTTCTTGGTGCTTTTTTGAAATAGGGCCAATTGGATATGCATGATTATTACATAAAATTCACTCGAAACGTGTATCGTGGTTTGGTTAGTTGAGGATTAACGAAGACCAACACATACTTGTAAAACGAGTTTGAGAAAAGGTCCTTTCGTGTAGGCATGGCATTTTGCATGTCAAAATCAACAGAAGAACAGATGCATCCCACATTTTTTTTACTAGTGCTACTTGAGTTTTTTCCAACCCTTTGGGAAGCCTTTCTGGTGGTGGTCATTGATTAGACTAAAGTGCATACTAGGTTTTCAACTTATGTACATGTTTGTGCACATTAAAAGAAGAGAACTGATGAGACTTGTTTTGTTGTTTCCTCTCTCTCTCTCTCTCTCTCTCTCTCTCTCTCTCTCTAAAGATGGCAATTGACCAATTAAAAGACTTTTGCTAATTCATAGAGCCCAAAGCATGTGATTAATGTTTAACGACACTGATTTCGGATTCCTTTATCACGATCATGGTCATGGGGACCCACCCATGTGATGATTACATTCTCATTGAACCTAGATACTATTGCCTTCCATCTCTATGTAGAAAATGATTAAATTATCCATCCTATGTACCACTAAACAGGGGCATGGAAGATTAATTTGGGGCCATAAGTACAAGCAGACAACCATGTTCACATAGATATGCAAGAATGAAACGCAAACATCATGATATTTGTCAATCCAATCAGTTGTTATGCACAATTTTATATCCAGATTGACATTTCAGTTGAAACAGTACAAGTTTTTTTAAAAAACACGAGAAGGTATAGGTGTACTCATTTGTGGGGCTAATCCCAAATATTCACTCTTTAAAAAAAAAGCTCTGGCTAAATGGAGAAATTGTCCTCTCTGCTCATCACTTGTCCATGACCACCTTCCACATAAGGACAAAACATTCTTGGACCACCAAACTTTGAGAGAGAAGAAACAATATTTTCTTTCAAATTGAATAGAAGTAGCTGGATTAGAAAAAACAATAAACGCACCCCTAGACAAGTTTCTGAGTTCAGGCAATCTTGGGGAGTCATGGGTTGCCCCCCATACTTGAAAATGCTATAAGACCTAAAGATTGGCTGGACCATCCATCCCTCCCTCCCTCCCTCCCACTCCTTGAAGCCTCAAATTTCTCAATTCTTCCTTCTGCCTTGGCTTTTGTTGAGTCACAAACTGACAGATATGCCCTGTCCATGACATTTAATGCCACCTGATGGTTGATCCCGCTTGGTTTCTTGGCTTTTCTCTTCAACATCTTCAAACTAAGTCCCTAGCTAGCTCCTCCTACTCACTGCCCACACTAGTCCTATGGAATCCCGAGCCAAAACTTATCAAGTCAAACAGCTTGGAGAGCTTCTCCAAGAAGAGCAAGAGCCTTTTGTTCTTGAAGTGTATCTTTTGGAGAGATGGTATGCGAACAGGAGGGAGTCTTTGAGGAGGTCGAGCAGCAGCGGTCGACCAACGAGTCGAAAGAGAATTGTTCGGCTTTCGAAGTTGCTGAGAACTCTCTACAACAAGGTTGCTTCTTTTAATGAGAAGAAGCGTAGAGTGAAGAACAGGGAAAGAGGTGAAGAGACTGGTGTTGCTGATCCTAGTACTAAACAGGATGCCGCCGAAGCCGACAGATTTTCCTTGTCCAGCGACATGACAACTTATTTTTCTTGCTCCGAGAACGATAAAGAAGAAAAACCCACTTCTTCAGAAAACGAACATGCATCATTTGACCCAATCTGTCTTCAGAATTTGAACAACGCAGAAAAGGTACAGGTATAGACGTTATCATTTTTCAGTATGATCGATCTTTTTCTAGGGCCTCTTGATACCGAAACACTAGTCACTCCTTTGAGAACACAAATTCAGTAGTGAAACTACTTAAGTTATCTTATGCATATGAAGTTTCATAACAATGCAACACATGAATCGGCCAGGGTGTAAAGGATTCAACGATCCAATGCAGCATAGAGAAGGACAAGGAGCAGTTCAATCATGTCTCGGCAACGAAGCAATCGAATTACCTCGTGCCCCTTCATCATTGTTAGTATCTTGATCTGCTATTCCTTCTTACGTTATGGAGAATTATCTTGCTTTTGCAACTAAATATCCTTTGCATTGGACAGGGCAGCAGGATTTGCAGCATACTCCTGCTGCAAGGCAAGAGGCGAATGCGCCAACTTGCAAAATTGTCCTGCCTGTAAATATAACTGAAGACTCCATATTTTCTGCTTCAATCTTGGAAATACTATTCCACTGCTCAAAAGACAAGCAGGGCTTCACCGGAACAGAAGAAGCAAGCCAGGCCTTGGACTCAAACGCTTCATGCAGGCACTTGAACTCGAAAATGATGTTGCAGCAGACAAAGCAGCTTCTGTTCGATTGTGTGAAGGAGATCTTAGAGACCCATGAGCGGAAGGAGAAAGCGAAACGACACAACCGAGTCACCTTGGGGCCCGAGGAGATTGGCCAGCTCATATGCGACAAGATCCTGGCGTGGGGTAGAACATCTGGGGACGAAACGAGCACAACCGAGCTGCTCTATTCGGATTGCCTGGATACAGCAGAAGAATGGGAGGATTGTGTACCACAAAATATGCAAATAAGTTCGGAAGTCGGAGATGCTATCATAGAAGAGATCACAAACGAAATTGTTCTAGACATGATTGATCTCCAGTTACCAAGGATGTAATTACTTGCAACAGCTAACTATTAATAGAACCTCACATTTGCTTACACCTCTCTTCCATTCTGAGAATTTAATGAGCTGCTCTGAATCCCAAGGGAAATCGCCGTTTTCTTTCTACCACAGATCCTAGATATATGAAAGAACAGGTTTCCTACCTTACGACCCATCGTCAAAAAAATATGGTTGGATGTGGAAGATGAGCCTCAATGCACTTCCCCGCATGCGGCCCAGCGAGTTTACGCGGTCTCGATGAATGATTTGAGTGATTATTCATTTGATAACGACCCCTAAACAACTGTGAACGACCCAATGTATTACAGCTACGGACGGCATTTCCTTCATCCATGCAGCTATCACACCTCGGCATATGACTATTACCAACACTCTATGAGACCTTGAATAGACATGGTCTTTTGGAGGCGCTAAGACGGTTAATACTTCATCTGTTCATTATACCAGGCACCGCAAAACTTTGTGTAACCACTATCATTAAGCTCAATTGATTTGTCTCGTAAATGTGACTACTCGCAATTGCAGGCCGCTAAGCCAGAACACTCCACAAACTTCGATTGTTTAATTTTCAGTAAAAACTACATGAATAATTCAAGCTTCGCCAGCAGCCGTATCATTCAAAATGACAAGGGTTCTCCATAACTGCAAACATACGTCAGGCAAGCCAAGATGTTTGGCTTTACAAATCCTCAAATGCAGAATAACCCTCGGTGATATTTAAAAGGCGACATTATCCAACATGATGATGTTGGCCTTCACCAATTAAATCAGTTTAGAAGCGGTTCACAGGGAACCTGTACTCTCAAAAGTGACCATGAAACCTGCACGGACAGAGAAATTATCACCAACAGTCTTATTGATCTATGCTCATCAACCTTCAATTTTTCAGCAGCCAGTCGGACATTGCTAGCCATTATCCCCGTTTCACAATGGCAACATCCCAGACTGTTGAACATCAAAGAATTGAACGGGTAACAATTTTACTGAGCTAATTAATGCTAATCTTGCATGTAAATGTCCAGACAGAAGACATGACTGTGGACTACTGGATTTCCCCGTCTTCACCAACTTCGCCATCTTCTAGCTCCTCATAACCACTCCGGCGGGTACTATCTCGGTGGTCTCTCTTATGTCTCCTATGCCGGCTCTCAGTTTCTGATTCAGGTGAGTGTGCATGCTGCAAGTACATAACAGCAGTTTATCTTTCTGATAACTACATCTTGCTTAGAAGAATTGAGTAGCATTTGCATGAATACTTGATTACCTTCCTCGATTTTTTGCGATCACTACCATGTTTTTTAGATCTTTTGGAATCTTTTTCATCCCGGTCAGAGTTGACGTCGTCACTGGCAGTCTGATGGCGCTTACGATGCTTCCTATCCTTTTCCTTTTCTTTCTTCTTGTCATCCTTGTAATCATGTGTATCATCCACATCTGCAGTTTCACTGTCAGTTTCATCCTTCTTGGATTTCTCCTTCCCCTTTTCTCTTTCACGATCTTTCTCCTTCTCTTTTCTCTCCTTGTCCTTGCGTTTCTCTTTGTCCTCTCTCTCCTTTTCTTTTCTAGCCTGCAATGTCTCAATGGAAGATTGGAGATTGAGGAACATATTCAGAGCTAGTTCACACGACGTCGAACATATCTATACCCAAGGAATTAATGAAAACAGCAGGAAGCAAATACGATTGCCTCGTTAAGATATTCCTTAACTAGTAGAGACACACAAGCAGCATTTACAAAACCGGGCTGGTGAGCAACTGGTCAAGTGACTGATGAGCAGTTCAGCCCGTGTCCGATAGTTCAAAGAGGTCTAGTTGAACAGCTATTTGATGATCAATAAAAATTAAATTATTGACAACAGATAATCCAGAAAACTAAGCTAGCCTGGTGGTGTGAACACCGAGACCATTCAGGAGACAAAGCCCTCCTGATCTCTGGGATAAGGATAATCTCTGTGTGTGTGTGTGTGTGTGTGTGTGGTGCAACGCCCAGACCATTTAGGAGACAAAGCCCCGACTTGATCTCTGGTCTAAGGATAACTCCAAAGGATAACATGCACTGTCTCTCTCTAAAATATCTCATAATGGATAATTTTGCACAGAAAAACAGATTTGCATTGCCGGATACCTTCTGCACTAAAGTATATACCTGTTCAGCTAAGAACTGTACCCAAATCTTGAAAAAGGGCACACATATCAATACATTGCAAAACAGTAATCAAGCCAAGCCTCTAACACCAACAAATTAAGCCTTATCCCACTAGGTGGGATCAGCTCTATGTATCCTTTCATGTTATTGCGGTCGACTCAGTATCCACTAATTGTGTCAAGGCTTAATTCCCCTTATATTTCCTTATTGTCTTATTTCACCTTTTTTAAGTCTAAGAAAGGAGGCAAACTACAACAACAGCAACACATTAGAAATTCACCAGGTTTTGACAAAAGAACAAGTACAAAGTGATAACTATCTAGAGCCAGCCACACCAAAACATTATACTTAATTAAGCGAAATTGTATAATTACTACATGAGTTTCGTTGGGCTATAACAACGTACTCTAAAGAGCAAAATATATGAACAAGGAGCTGTTGACAAATTTCAATCACCTTTTCCTCCTCACGCTTGCGTCCCTTCTCTTTTGCCTTCTCCTGCAAATACGCTTTGTATTCCTCAAAAATCTCTCTACTAAAGCTCTCATCCCCCATCAATCTGACAGAGTACATCAATAAAGAAAAGGAGTTATTGTGAGCACTTTGACAATGGTTAAAGAAATGAAATGAAATTTTCAAGAAAATTGGAACCGTACTTAAATTCATGACTATCTTCAAACAGAGGTTTGCACTCGTCCCAATCAGAAGTTGCGGTTATTTCCTGCAAGTGATAGAAAATCATTTCTCTAAAAGATTTGAAAAACTTCTAAAATAGTCATACCCATAGGAGCTAACAGATACCTTTAGCGTATACAATAATTCAGTGAAGTCATCAGCAAGACGGCGACGTTTTTTTGCTTCTTTTTCTTCCTTCTCCTTCACTCTTTCAAGAAGCTCCTCAAACACAAGCTTCAGTACGAAGTACAATTACGGTTTAGTTATGTGCAGTTAACAAATGCCACAGCAGAAATGCAAATCCTACACGAATATGCCAGATCCCCAATCGTGCGTAAAAGAATAAGGCAAAACAGGCGTCACTAGTTTCTAATTTTAACAGACAAAGTGTAGAGATTCTAAAGCCAGCTCATCAGAATCTGAACACTCCAACACCAGCATCATCAGCATCATTAAAGAAATTGAAGCCTTTCACATGTATGACGCTACAACCAAAAAAAAACAAAATTTACCAATCAATATAACTCAAAATGAATGTATTTGCCTGCAGTTCATTTTAAGGTGGCATGACAAGCATGACAAAAAGATTTCAAGTACTCAAACTAATGCATGGAATTAGAGAGGTACCTGGGTCTAATTAAGTGCATATCCATACTTAACAAGACCTGCCCTCCCCTAATTGCTAGCAAAAAGATTACATTCACCTACTGTTGCATGCACACATTTAATAGCACCTCGATATGTCAATCCATAGAAGTCCATGACATACAAAAGTAGCCGCACATTCTTAAAACAAGATGCCCTCGAGCCACATATTTGCAGATTTGACCATATCTTAATCTGAAAAATTCTCATATAAGCGCCTCAAACCTACAGATCTTAAAACATATAAACATCCGCATTCAAATCATGCAGATTTTCCACAATATGTAAGAAATAGAATGATACTTTTAGCTTGCATGTCTTCTTTCAAAGTTGTAACGTCTTACCCCCCCCCCCCCCCCCACCCACCCAAAAAAAAAAAAACACACACACAAGCCAAATGCCTCTTTCCCCCATTCCATTCCCCCACCCAAAAGAAGCCCATACTAATTCTTTCACTAAAAAAATCAATCACGCCCCCAGCAAGTTTCTACCTTAAAAGTACTTCAATAATTTAAACTTCACTAAGCTCCAGTAGATTTTACCAGAGATAAGAAAGATATATCATTTGAAACTACAAAGAAAGAAGCGAAGTACCTTCGAGTTAACATCTGATATAAGTGGGGCACCAATATCTTCCAAGACAGAAGCCTTGAAATCCTCGAAAGTCCATGTTGATGCAATAGAGATCTAATGGGAATGACTGATCACTAATGACCAAGTAAAAGATGTAGAAAGATATACTTTAAGCAACGACCTTTACCTTCCCCAATTTCATCGCATCTTTTGCTCGAGTTTTATCATCATGGTACTGCCCATTAGCCAAAAGCAAGTGATTAGATAATCCATAAACCATGATATAGGAATTTGACTACTTTAAGGCGGATGATATAAATCCCATTAAATTAGAAAAATGAAGTAAAGATTATTGAGAAAACAATCGTGACAGATGTGTCTTCAAGAAAATCTAACAATCTTAGAAGGAAATGCCTCCACTAAGACTATCTTATTGTAACACAAGTTTGAATACTTGTCTTATTCTTTTAGGTTTTTTTATTGCTTCTCTCTTATTGTAAAGAACATGCACAATTCCAGGCAATGCAACTCTTCTAGTATCATAACAAGAATAATAGAGATGCGCCTTGAACACAAAGAGTCTAGATAACACACTTGTCTAATGCTTTTTGACAAGAGACCATCTACTGGATTTAAGAATGTCTCACCGCTGCTCAAAAGAATATCAAAAATCAGAACGCACTCCCGGTTGCTTATGATTCTAATAAGTTAATAAATCCTGGTATCGCTCAGCCACATTTTTGGTATTCAATGCTCATCCAAAGTCCACAGCATGTCAATCAATACCAAATTAGAGTAAGAAAGCATCAAAAAAATGTCCAACTACTGTTCAGGGACATACTTTAGTCATTTCCAAGCAAAGCATAACTGAAGTCCATTGATATACTATTACTTGATCAAAGTTTGTTATTTCACCACATTGGCCAGTGTGTGTTTTACAGTGATCAACTTCAGATCTGTTAATTCATACGGACTTTTTCTTAGTTTACATTCGTGTTGCAAGAGGACGTCACTCACAAGTTTACCTCAATATCACCCATCATGATCAGGTTTTATTTCGGCTTAATTACAGAAAGAGATCAAAGACTGAAAGGTAATCTAAACTTTAGTCCACCAATTTGATAAATGTGCCAGCACAGATGCTTTTAAAACTCGTAAAGTGTTGACACAGAATCAAATCACGCAGATGATACCAATTGACATACAAAATCATGACTTATCGCCACAATGTCTGACATGGGCTGTGCGACCATCTTGGATAATCCAAAACAGCGGCACCACTAAAACTAGCTGGAGTCACACAATGTAGTATGACCTACGTATAGGTCCCGCAAGGAAGAGTAAACCCTCACCGACAAGAGCCCAGATCACGTGACCAAAATTTGGAACCAATTACCCTCGCAGAAAAGAGCAGGAGGCTAAGTGTCCCTCAACAAAGAGAGCAAAGGGCCACACAAACCCTCGATTAAGCTTACAATGGGTTGTGCAAACAAATTCCGGCATGTAAACCGCAGAGGATCTCTCTCTCTCTCTCTCTCTCTCTCTCTCTCTCTCTCTCTCTCTCTCTCTCTCTCTCTCTCTCTCTCTCTCTCTCTCTCTCTCTCTCTACATACATACATACATACATACATACATACATACATACATATATATGAGTTCTGCTAACTTCATCTAGGTACAACTCTAGGCAATGTCAGCATCCACGTGAGCATTTAATGAGAGCTTACTCGCCATTAAAAGTGAGAAGAATTTTAGTGTTAAAAAGTTAAAAGAAAAGAAGCTCGAAGTTAAGGGTCTTTCTGAATTACGGCCTTTCTTGAGAGTTGGAGAACTACGGAAAAGTGTCGGCTTACAAAGTTTTCTACATTACTGTTCATAAACCATGCAAGGGATGGAAAAGTACAATACTGCATCTCCTTACTGGAATTCACTGTCAAGATTCAGGTCTTACAGGCTCCTGCAATCGATAAACTGTTGGTTCTTGTCCTAACCCACCTCCTTTTCCTGTTTACCGTCAACGACTCTTTACATGGTCCACGTTAACCAGATTATTCACTTCATTAACTTCTAATGTTCAGAAAAAAACCAGCCATGGGATGCAAATATCCTTTTTCTTTATCCACATCCCTCCAATAAAATAAAACGTAGTTAAAAGGGTGTGCACAAGTGAGATACCTGTTTCTCTAGTTCCTCCATGACATCCTCAAACAAATCTTTAGGAGTCGAACCGGAGGTATTTGATGCAACTGCCTGATACTCAGACGTGTCTTTAATCTGCAATCCAAAGAAGAATTGCTGAAGAACAGAAGAGGCCTACAATGTGCACTAAGCTCTCATATTTTATTCTGTTTAAATTAAAGGCAGCCCCAATGGGTGGGAGAAAAAAAGTGAAGGTTGTCCCAAATTTGGATATAAGCTTTTACCTTCAAACAATAATCATGCCAGAGAGCCTTAGCATTGAGTGTGCCCGCAGCAATATGTTCTTCCATCAGTTTACGAAATGCATCGCGGTTTTTCCGCTCGGACCGCCTCAATTGTTCCTTCATTGATTAAAAGAAGACTAGATAAAACTATAACATGCATAATACAATTAGAGATATGCAACAATATAAAGATATCAGAAGCTACAAAAAGCAATTAAACAATAGGTACCTTGTGTATCTTCTTTTGTTCCTCTTCTTCCTTCTCCAAGTCACGGACATAATCCTGTCATAACGAACATCAGCATCCCAACTTAAAACTCCAGGCAACGAGTTTGCCACTTGTTATACCTGATATATGAGCAATCTGTCAATTTTTTCAAGACGTGAGCATCTTTCATCATCCTCTAAACGATCGACAATTTTTCGCCACTGGCTGTTCACCTGCAAGAAAGAGGAGACTTCCAACAATCAGGATGACATGAAAAACTTTAATAACCCAAAACTACTTGTGGGCAGTCACTTGTATGTACTTTAATGAAGTCACAGGATTCTAGATATTTTCGGTATTCTGCGACATGGTGCTTGTGCTCCTCAACAGCCTTTTCCCTTTCCTGAAATTGGTAACTTGGGTCATTACAACATCAAAACAGGCTGAAAATACCCAAGTTGACATCTAAATGAGAGGCTGGCGACGAGGATGGCAGTCTGAGACAGAAAGGGAGAGAAGACAGACTACATCCTGACGGGAAATTTACATGCAAATAAAGTACTATATGGGTTTACATATTCCACCATCAAATCTCTTTAAATTTGTACCTTCCTTCCAAGTTCCACCATATAGTTTTCAAAAAGATCCTCCCGGTCTCTATTCCGTTCAACAGCCTTGAATCGTTCATCATTTTCAAACATAGTCACTGCTTTGCTGAACGTGACAAGAATTCCATCAGAGACTAAGACAGTTATAGCATCTCAGATAATCTGGAACCATAAAATAAGAACATATAGATGAACTAGACAATCTAGCATTCTCAACAGGAAAGAGAATCACCTCCATTTTACAGAAGATGTGAGTTCTGTACACTCCTGCAAACCAATTAACCCAGAAAGACTAAAATGTGAGGAAAGGGGAAATGAAATAATCAACTTCAAAGTGGATTTGTCGTGCATAGAGTGTGTTATGACCCATGGCAGGATGTTGAACTGCTATTTAAGCCACAATTATCATACTTCTAGCATCTTTGTGAATTCTTCCTTTGCTTTCTTCTGCCTCACGCGCCTCTCCTCCGCTTCCACTTTTCTTCTTTGACCCAAGTACTACAAAATAAGGCAAATGATCTTACATTACCACCGTAAAGGCATTAAGCAATTACAGCTGCGAGAGAGAGAGAGAGAGAGAGAGATGATCTTCACTCTCAAAAGGGGACGAATGAACCACTGGATACACAAACCCAAAAATTTAGGAACTATACCTCATTGAATGTTTGTTTTCGCTCACCAAGTGTCTTGAGAGCACTGTATCTTCGGTCATTGATTATCTCTCTCATTGTCTGGGATATTACTATCAACTATGAACATTGAGAAATTCAATATATGTGTAAATATAGACAAAGAAGTCCTAAAGTAACACCTGCTCCCAAGTCCAGTCGGACTGAACATTCACGGACTCCAGAAGCGCTTTAAATGCATTCTTAGCCTCCTAGATAGAATACGAAAGAAGACAAGTGAGCAGGAAGTGGAGCAAACAATAATCATAAAAACAATTCGGAACATCAACTGCCCAAGACAATAGTCTCTAGGTTCCCACCTGCTTACTAGGATATACTACGGGTTCATCTTCTGGGGCTTTGTCCTCTAAAGGAGTCTCGTTAACCTTCCCAGCCACTGCCATTCCTCTTTTTGCCTCCTGCCAATTAGTACACTAATGTCAGATGACACACAAGTGCATACTATTCCAGCACATCCAAATGCACTATGATGTCAAATCTCTCGCTAAGAACTTGCATAACATGACATTGTGAATGATGAATTTCCTGAGAACAAACTCGGCAAGTACATCAGTCCTAAAAGAAAAGAAAAGTCAGACTATTTCCACAGGACTTGCACCATCTATCGATCCACAATACAGTTCTCCAACTTGCTTGTTTTAGCAAGGAATAAGACAGCTAAGTTGGCTGGTTGTTGGAAGGCTAGGTCAGAAATGAATAAATCGTGTGGGAGATTGACTGGAGGCTAGAAGCAATCTTGATTTTTTTTGAGTTATTGCACCAGATGATGTCAGATGTGGGAAAGGATGACCTTTTACGGACAGATTGTCGTGGATGTGAAACCTTTTCTGTGAAATCTAGTACCATGATCTCATCACTCCTAAGCAGCAAGAGAACACACTTTTACCTTGGAAGTATGTTCGGAAGCACAGGCTTCTTTTTTCTCTAGGGAAGCTGCTTGGGACATATTCTAAATTTGGATGACATTTAAAAGCAAGGAACTTCATTGTGGATTGATAGACTCGATGGGCAAAGAAGGTGCAACCCTTGTGAAAATAGCAACTTTTTAGATTCGACCGAATATTTGACAAAATATTCCAAATATTTTCAAAAGACTTGCACCATCCTCAGTGATAGACCCGATGCGGTTGGTGGAAATAATGAAAGATGTTCCAACCATAGGCTAAACTTGATATAAATCTCGGTTACATTTACGTTTTAGATTGTAAGTTTAATTGGTTTATCTTTATAGTGTGCTTTTTTTTATAGAAAGCATGGACTACAGAAAAAATAGTTGGTTTGTTTGATATGTGTATTAATGTTACTCGTTTTTTTGGCAAAATCTAGTATCTATATGTATTATAGTTACTCATTATGTATAGATTGACATTCTTAAAGCTTTCTCTTGGTAGTTTGTAAAATTGGGAGATTTTTAATCCGACCATACAAATCAATCTTATACACCCCACAACAATTTATTCTAAAAAGCGATTTTAACCTTGGTTACAATATAATCGGACCAGACAGATCTAAACTATGGTTTTTGCAATTTTAGGGGTAAATTGGGTGATTCAAGAACGACAATACAATGTATATGCTCATTTGGAAAAGAAAGAAAGAAGAGTGCATTTCAAGGATGAGAATCCTCCTAGGATTCTTTTAGAGACATCGGCTACACACCATTCACTTTGGTACAACAGGAAAGTTCAATTTGACACTTTTATTTTGTTGGAAATGACAGACTATCTTTTCTTCATAACTTTTGTATGCAGTGTCTTCCCTAAAGGAGCCGTACCCCCTTGGTACCTTCTAAATGTACTTCTGTTTATCTTTCCTAGGAGAAAAGGAATTTCCATGAGACCTGCTGAAAAATGATGATTGTCATCTAGATAGGATCATTATCAGACAAAAGTTGAATCATACCTCAATATCCTGCAAAGAGGCACCATCTACGGACAATGCCCCATCTTGAGATACCACAGTTTGAAAGCTAGCCCTGCAAGTTGATGATAAATGATTCAGCAGTCAAACTATTACCACATACAACAAAAAAAGCTCCAGCACTTTTAAAGGATTTGCCTAGAGAAATCTGATAGCAACTATGGCTGGGCATATAGATAATGATGGGGTGTAATTAGACTCCATTCTTTTACTGGTCAGCATCAGGATAGCAACGGGAACTATTCTGCTCAGGCACAAGTGGCATAGCAGCAATCCTGTGAAGATGCTATTCCTAGGGTCTTTGCATTTAACATTATAACAGGACCATTTGACCAAATATTTCGCTGTGGATTTACATTAGAGATGTTAGCATAGCAGGAGGGTTGATTCTGGTCCGATCCAAGAATTTTGGTACAGATCATTTAAATTGGATGGGTCTCAAACGTCGAGCTTATATATTTACTGAGATTTCATTATTCCAGATTCATGTCAATTGTTTGAAGTTGACACTTTTCTCAAATTAGATTCAGATCAAGTCATGTTTTCACACCACTAGCTTCTACTAGGAAGTGCAACTTGTGTAAGGCTCATCATCATGAGCTTCAAAATCTCTATGGTTTATTTCTGCAACTTTATCAGAAGATATTTGCTAGGAGACACTGATCCTATCTTGATACTAGCAAAGTAAAACAAGAATTTTACCCAAAACCCTATCAGCTGTGCCTGAGGAGGAAATGCTCTTCAAGGTTGTATGACTAAATGTGCATATTCTAGACTTTGCAGCAGTTTTATTACCGTAATAACATTTCACTTTCTTAATAAGCCACCATATATCGCATTGCATAATGCAGATTATTAACAGTAGTCTGCATGCTATAGCTCTTTTGGAGAGAAACAAGGTGGCATGAATGGATGTTGCATAATATTGAAAGAGTAAAATAAGGAAATAAAAAGCAACAATGACAGGTGTACCCTGATGAGTTAGCAGTGCCAAAAGTCGGAGACACGCTGGAACTTCCTGGAACGGTAGCAGGGGAAGCAGATACTGCCGCAGCTTGAAATCCAACATCATTCACCGTTGCAGAGGGGGAAGGCACACCAACAGTAGTTGATGGACCTGATATTGCCGGCTGGGTTGCATTAGGCAAAGGAAGAGCAGAAGTGACTGGAACCGGGCTAACAACATTTGCTGTAGCAGGTGCTTCAGTTGATCCACTATCACTGGCAGCAGGGCCTTGAGCTGTTGTTCCTGACTCCGCAAGTCCTTCAACATTAGCTTTTAGAGCCAGTTCCCGAGCTAACTGAGGTCAGGCAGCGATAGTTTAGAAAATTGAGCAGAAAGCTAGAGGATACCTATCGAGCAACAAGTAACAAACCTTCATTTCCTCGGGAATTGACCATACAGATTGCTTCGTATCCTTATTGTAATAATATCTGCAATAAGCCAACTCCCAAATATATAAGGATGGTGCAAAAAGAGTGCTGGCAACTATAAAAGAACCGCATTAATTAGGGAAAAAAGTAAGTCCCCACGCACTTTCTTCCATCTGAATTTGTAAACTCCTTCCACACAGTAGATGCGTCAGCTCTCTGTCATAAAATGTAGTCGCTAATTAAAAACAAGAGGGAAACGAAAATAACGAAGAAGAACATATATAAAGAGATAAAAACTGAATAGCAACAGATAAGGCAAGCGAAATTACTCAAAACTAAATATATTTACCTTCATAGCATTAAAAGGATATGTTAGCAGCTAAAGCAAATGATCAAGGTAATAAGATACATTGCATTAGCTCTTCATAAGGTGAGAAAATCAAAATGACATACTGAGGTAGAAAAATAATACAGAACTACAGTCGATAAAAGTAAGAAATCGAGATGCATAATTTGTCAAATCAAGAAAATCGTGCATGCAATTATCAGGTCCATAATAGTCTGGGAATACCATGACACGGCAATAAAAGCATAAGCAGTCTAGCTAGTGATGGTTTTCAGGAATACACAGCTCAAAAACTCTGTTTACTGCGATTAAAAACATAAGTTGCTATGCATGTGCGTATTCCGCGTTAGGTTAAAACTAGCAAACATTCGTTGGCAATTTTGCATGAGTGATGGGAATGTGTTACGAGAATGGAAAGGATTTAGCATATCTTACACCAACAGCAAGAAAGCTTCAATATGGTAGCCTGACTAAGCCAGACGTCAATGGTATCCACATTCCACAAGATATAATACCAGGTACCTTTCTTCTGACCCTGACCAATTAAAAAAGATGACCTCCCTAAGGTTTTCATTCCTTGGTAGAAACGCCAATATATGAATATCATTACACTTTGAATTACAAGCTAAGTACAAGAAGGACAATCTATCTATTCAGACACTTTAAGCCATTAACAATGATACATTGACGACTATTGTCAGGTACAAAAATCCGACCAAGCTTCAGGTTATTCTACATTCTAAATAGTCTTAGCTTATAACTACAGATAACCATACTACATTGTTACGTTCAAGAGACAATATGGTACCCACTCTAAAACTAAACAAGAAGTGTGGAAAAGAAACATATATTGCAAACTCTAAGTTGTTTTATCCATCAGCCACTTGTCCATACAGCTCGATCCCACATCATGAATAAACTTAAGGGGCCAACTGCTTCCTCTATAGAAGTGAAATACCACCTTCACAGTGAGCATATACAGCAACAGAAAATTATTTAGCATTGATATATCATCATAAAAGAACTTCTACAGTAGATAAATCCAAATAAAACGTTTTATTCAGTCCAAACTTGGGCAAAATGTTAAATATTCCACAGAAAGACACGTGAATCACATGGCTGCATCGAGACAACACCTGAGAGCATCATAACTCACCTCAATGGGTGTCATCAATTCTAGAGGTTTTTCCCAACTGGACTGTTTGGTCTTCTTGTTGTAGTAATATCTGAAGAAAAGTAAATAGAATAGGAAAAAATTGGAAGTGTCAGGAATTCTCAAACTGGAGAGGGAGCAAAAGAAGGCAGAGGCAGTTGCAACTAACCAAGTGTCCTAACTTGGCTGAGATTTATTAAGATTTCTACTTCTCTCGCAGTTTCAAAAGTTAATCTCAATTAAACCCTACAATAATATACATATATATAAAGGACTTTGACGGTGACATCATAACACTACAGTAGTTTGATGATTACATTGAACTAAGATCCACAACTTGACCATAATTGACCTGGCTAAGCACAGAGCACAGTTTGCATTCATGACTTCAAGTTACACATATTCAGTAAATAGTATCCCCTTCCAGCCAAGCAAACAAGTTGATGCACAATAGCCTGTGGTTTTCCATCGTTTCCCCAAAAGAATTTGAAAGAAAACAATTTTCAGCTTAAATTGGCTGATATGATAAAAAAAAAATTTCCTGCACAGTCAGAACATAACCAATGGCAATAGTTCACTTTATTCATTACCATGATAGAGCATGGCTTTCCATTATTTCCTCAAAACAAATGAAAAGAAAATTTCCTCTTTTTTAATACTGTTATCCTGATTGATTTCTACATGATTAGAATAGATGACCACAGTTCACCTAATTCAATCAGCATTTCCAAAAGGCCAGCTTCCAATTTTCCACTATCACTACGGACCCACGTCAGACTAAACAAGTATTACAGACATCTATGGTTGTAAAACAGACTAACAATGAAAAATAAATCAGAGGGATTAGTGACAAAACATCTATGACTTGATCCTGAAAACAAGGTCCTTCCAATTGTTTAGAACTTTTACTTTTAAAAGAAAGTCCTTTACTCATTTCCCACGCCCTCTATTATACTATTATGACATTTGTATTAAGCAGAGAAAGCCATCAAATTCCTATGAGCCAGATAAACTTGACTTTTGTTTCCTGAAAATGGATGACTGCAGTAAAACAAGCAGTTACCGTCTCCCATTAGAAGCTTCGTGCTCTTGCCAATCAGATGATGACTGCTGAGAGGGGTTTGGAGCATTAACTGCCTGATATGCAAAAACAGTAAACGTTTGAAGATGAAGTCACTTGGAATTAAAAGGCACAAGAAGCAACTAAAAAAAACTTGAAGTGGTAAATCATTCCTTTTGCACCTCCGGAAAGCGAGAGTTCTAACATAAGGTAAATGAAATTATCAACTTTCCAATGAGGGGAGGGAAACTTCATTCTAAGGAAAAAAGTTGCTGCGCAACTCTAATTTAACTAAAGGCATCTTATGATCCCACTTGCTGCCATCTCCCCGCTTGATGAAAAAAATGTAGAACTGCAAACTAAATAAAAGTCTACATCGCATGATGAGAACAAGGTATCCATATATCGAATATCCTACAATGGCAACTCCATATAAGGAAAACTTAGTTCCATGAAAAAAATCTTAAACAGTAATTCATGATAATTTGGGATCGGAGTGGACAATTCTGTTTTACCGTGCCAGGAAGCATCGAAATGATAGGCGCACTACCACAATTAGATCACACAGCTGTAGGATGCAGGATAAGCACATGAGCTACAGAGAGCTAATGTCACTGAGATTGTGCTTTAAAATTGAAAACCTCGTAAGGTAAGCAATTGCATGTGATAGCATACTCTGTATCTTGAAATTTGAGAAGCATACAGAATTTTCAGTTTTATTCAATGACTGAGAAAATTATGCCGAACAAGCCAAACCCTTTAAAGAAGACTGCCACCACATCAAGTCAAAATTGCATGGAATGGAAAGAGAAACCATCAGAGGCACTCACTGCATCTGGAGGGGAAGTAAATGGAGCTTGTTGTCCAGTCTGCTGAACTGGCATCACAGGTAATGCATTATGAGCTCCAGAGGACAACCAAGGCTGTCCAGCAACAGGTGCATGCATTTGAGTCATCGGCTGAATATGAGATGGTGCACCAACATTATTCTGTTGCTGGCCAAAAGGTGGTGCAAACTAAAAAACAACAGACAACTGTGAAAATAAGCACACTGATGTAATTTATATAAAGCTAATAGGAAGAATAGATTAAATTGGATTCTTACAGTGTAAGATGAACCAAAAGGTGCTCCAGGGCCACCAACACCAGGCATCGGATTATGAAATGGAGGAGCACTTGGCTGGGCAGAGTTAGACGACAAAGGCCTACTTATTTGAGCATAGGGCATTGACAAAGCCTGCGATGATGGAGTATAACTAGGCTGACTAGACCTTTGTGGTAACTGCTGCATTGGATGAGAAAATTGAGGTAGTTGATCTTGTCCAGCTGGTCGAAAATGTTGGGAAGTGGGGGGAAGATATGTCTGCCCTTGCTGTGTTGGAATAACCGCTCGGTACTGCAGCAGATGTTTGAATCTATCATGTACTTATGATGAAAAATTATGGGAGCAAAAACTATAGCAGATATAATTTGCCAATTGCACAGAAAAGGAAACTTACTTGCATGGGTATTGACGATCCAAAGCTCTGAGAACCTAAAGTTCCAGATGGAGGAGGCCAAAGCGACTAGTTGACTCAAACAAAAGGTACCATAAATCAGAATCAAGGTAACAGTCGATAGATAGAACAGCTCAAAAAAGGAGACTCCCAATAACATCAACAGGAATGCATACACATATGGACAAAAGTTGGACACTATGCAAAGAAAAAGAGGAAATGGATACTTTTGCTGGATATCAGAAATTGAAACTTCTCCTAACCAAGTATGCATTCCATGGTCATTATCAACCGTTTTTACTACAATGTTTGTATTACGTGCTCACGTTAGTTCCTGTAATGCAAGGACCATCAAGTATGAATAAAACAAGGAAATTTTGAAGCAGACAATAGAAAAGTCCACGTCAATATATTTAAACTGAAAGCATTTAATAGACGACTTGATTGATTCGCCATCTTATTTTCTCACACTTAATAATTATCCCCACAAAAGGGACCCAAGTCAAAAGCAACACCGATGACCCTCTGCTTACTGAGATTATTGGGATTTTCTACAATTTAAGTGATAGTTGGTAGCTAGCATAATCTAAGCATCTCAAGAAGACAGTTCTCTCAAAAAACTTTGGTTCTATTAGTTCGTCATTTAAACTAGTCTTCGATGATGTACTAATTCAGATTGAAGGCAGAGGAAAGATAAACAAAGGACCAAATTCTCTCTCCGTATTTAAACGAGGATTTCTACAATAAGACACATCGTTCATTGTTATCCAAGAATTCAACAGGGAAACGATTCCAAACATTAGTTCACTCCATAACAAAGCATGACAATTTTTTGCTTATCTCAAACTCAGATATGACATAAATATCAAGTATGAAGAAAGCTGCTTCGCTAACTAACCCCACAACCAATACGCATGAGCATGCATACTCATGCATGGTGCACACTCAACCATCCAACAAACAAAAAATGAAAAAAAAAATAACTAATAAGCTAATATCATCAAAGGTTTCTACCTGTGCACCAGGGGATTGGGAATTATTGGCCATGCCAGCACAAAACCAGGCCTCTCTGATGCTTGAAGAGCTGCAGAAACTCGTGTATTAGCTCAAACATCACCTGAATAACTTAACATGAACCACACTTTTAATATCAAACAAACAAGTAGTGGATTATTCAGTCAAATCAGGTAATAAAGATTAGCTGGATCAAGCCTAAAACCTAAGTGGCACACTTCAGAAGCATATTGCAATGGCAGTGCTTGATGATAATCTATGCCAGAAAATTTACACATAAGTAATTCATCCCTCCATGATAATTAGATATGAAAGTCAAAGGCTCTCCGGCATAAGACTCAGGTGGGCATTATCTAAATCATTCTGAGACTATTCTTAAGGCATTGAGACAAGGCCATAACTTAAGATCTGCATGACCAAAAAGAGTATTGTAGGACCATGAAACAGAAGATGTTAGTGGTGCTAAGCAGCGAAAATGGTCTACAAATCCGGTCTCTAGCTAAAAAGTATCGTCTTTCCTTTTACTAATATTCAGTGGCTATGGGGAAGTTCACTTCAGTGAGATGTAATCCTTAATCAAGCTCTTCTAGGCAAACAGCTGGACTGATTCATGAGCTAATAAATCAGCCCTAAGGAATTGGTAGTTCAGGCTAAACTTGACTTCATACATAGAAGATGAATTAAAACCTGATGGGGCGGGGTTATCTTTGTGATTACCCAGTGACAAATTTGCAAATAGATATAAGCATACATGTAACAACCTCTTCCATCTCCATACTTCTTGGGCCTAGCAGAGTGAGAGCATGCTTTTGATGGCGAAGAGCTTCACATTTTTTAACAACTTCGCATTCCAGACATCCTAGAGGACATAGGCTTAAGAAACCTGCTGCTATGCACGCATTGGTGCGCATCGATGACTTTTTCCTTATTGTAAAGAAGGTTCCTTTTCCCCTTAACCCCCCCCCCAAACCCTTGCGTGAGAGGTTATTGTCCATTTTCAACTGGGCATTGCCTTAATGTCAAGAAGCCCAGACCAGCATTATTGCGAGAACCTTACATTATGTACGAGCTCCAATCTGATCGATTCACCCCATATAACAAAATGGATGTGCCTACCAAAATAATGGATCGACGCACCAATCATTCTCGCGATTATCACAGCCAAGCTACGACAGAGCCAAATCAAACTCCAGGAAAGCTTCTTACGTTTGATCCCGAAGCCCTCAGACTACTTTTCTGATTAAGTACCCACACGGTCACAAATTTTCCCCTCCACAGTAATTTAAAAGCAGCACCGGTATCACGTAATCAAAACCATCTAGTGTATTTTGCAAACGGGCGCTCTCCACAGAGCCCATCCTACGCAAAAGGCATGCGGTTGCCCGCTCTAACTTAGCTAAGGATGTCCCGAACACACACCAGCTCAAAGCGAGCTGAAACGGACTGCCCGGGGGAAGTCCCGGAAAAGGCCCGGAACGGAGAGACGAACGAGCCGTCCTAATTGAGCGGACACCTTCCACCGTACCAGAAGCAATAGGCGTCGGGAAAAAAAGGAACAAGAAAAAAGGGTAAACCGAGAGCAGCCAGACTTACCGACGGAGCGGGCGGAGAAGGCGGAGCGTCGAACGGCGGTGGCCGGAGGAGCGTGCGGGCGAACGAGGGAGGAGCTCGGAGGTGGGCTCGAGGGATCGGTGGTTTCAGGTGCTAGGGTTTAACGGAGCCATAGCCATCTGATACAGAAGAGAGAGAGAGGAGGAGGCAGAAGCCGACAGGGAAGCACGGAAGTCCCGTTCCCGCTTGGGCACTCCTGCGCCACGTCGTCCGGACGACATCATCGGGCCGGGTCGGGCGCTATGCGACCCGCATACACCCGGTCTGAACATTTAGGGTGCACATGAATACCATTATGTGCCCGGAAACTATTTCTGAACAGAAATGATTTTTTTTTATTCTGTGCCCGGAAATAATTTCTGAGTATTTGAAGGCGTTTGATAAACTGTCCAAAATTTTTATTCCTAGAGTAGAAACGAACAGAAATGCGTTTGGTAACTACACAAAATTTCTGTTTCCAAATAATATTTTAATAATATTTTGAATTGTTTAATTTTTTTTTTATCTATCCATTTTCTTCTTTGGCCAGGGCCGGTCGCCGGCGACCGACGGCCGGTGGCCGGCCACAGCCCAGGGCCGGCAAGGGCATCACGGCCCTCGCCGGCCGCCGGCGGAGGCGAGGGTCGCCCTCGCCGGCCCTGGGCTGTGGCCATTCGTCGGCCCCCGGTCGTCGGCACTGCCCGCCAGGGAAGAACAACACAAAAATAAGAAAAGAAAAAAAGAAAAAGAAGAAAAAAAACCGATTCTCAAAATTGTCTTAGAAACAAGAAGCAACTTTTTTTTACTTCTTGTTTCTCTTCCAAAACTGTTTCTCGGCACAAATTTTTACAAAAATGTGCCCAGGAACAAAAAGTTTACCAAACGCATTTTTGTTCCCAAACTATTTCTAAGAACAAAAGAACAGAAATTTTCACTATTTGGCACGTTGCCAAACGGGCCATTGGTTCAACTTTGAAAATTCTACTTGGGGAAATGCAAATACCTTTGGATGAAAGCCCATTGGGGAAATGCAAATACCTTTGGGTGAAAGCCCATTGGGGAAATGCAAAAAGTGGTTGGTAAAAATATTTTCTAAAGTTACTTTGGCCAAAATATAGTGTTTGGTGAATTATTTTTGCAAATGGATTTTGGGAATAAAAAACCTAACTTACCATTCGCCGGAGCCGGCGCCGGCCGGCCGCCGGCGAGCCAGATCTGGCGCAGGCGGCCATTGCCTGAGGTCGGGCGACCTCCGGCGGGCCAGATCTGGGGCCGTCGCCCGAGGCCGGGTGACCCTCGGCGAGGGTTGCGGGACCCAAGCGACCGCCCGAGTCGCGCGACCTTAGGCGGCCGTCGTGCGGGTCGCGCGACTCAGCGGCCGTCGCTGGGTCGCGCCGAGATCGCGCGACCCGGGCGACGGCCAGCCTGAGTCGCGCTACCCAGGCGGCGGCCGCCTGGGTCCGTGACCCTCATAGGGGTCGCCGGACTTTGGCGACGGCCGCCGGCCTCTTGCCAGCCGCCTCGCCGGCCTCCCTCGCCGGCCGCCTCGCCGGCCTCCCTCGCCGGCCACCTCACGAAGAAGAAGATGAACAGTACACACGAGGGGCAAAACCAAAATAAGCCAAAATAACTAAGGGTAGTTTGGGGATAAAAAATTTGGGTTCAGCATTCCAAATGCTAGCATTTGGCAAATGCTGAACCAAACGAGCCCTAAGTACCTGAAAAAAATACCACCAAAAAATCGAGATAATGATTAAAAAATCCTAAAAGATAATGACATAAATAATTCATAAACTTTGGCCCAATATATAATATGATCCCTGAATTTTAAATTTGTTTAATGTGATCCATGAAATATGGCTCAATGTGCAATATCGTTCATGGACTTTTAATTTGTTTGATGAGGTCTCTAGACTTTTAGCAAATGTTCGATTTAGTCCATAGATTGTATGAAAATATTCAATATTTCCCCTTAGCTTAAATTAATAAAAAGGCAACATTGAATATTTTCATACAGTCCAATGACTAAATTGGACTAAAGTTCAGGGATTTGCCAAAAGTCCAAAAATCATATTGAACAAATTAAAAATTGAAGGATTACATTACACATTGGGCTAAAGTTTAGCGACCACATTGAACAAATTTAAAATTTAGGAACTACATTGCATAATGGGTCAAAGTATGGACCGTTTGAGTCATTTACCCAATCCAAAACTATACCCATGCTACGGTAACCTCAATATTTCATACATTTTTTTGCCATGACGGCCCTCAAAATTGTACCAATATGACATAAAATACATTATGTCTGCACACAAAAAATCCTAAATTTTTCCCATTGTCAAAAGTTTGGGGTATTGGGAATACCAAGAAATGTGTTTGAACTATGAGTGTCGCGGTGGATATAGTAAAAGAGTGTATTTGTTTCGCGGAAAATGACTGATTTAGAAACATTTTCTGAAAATATCGCTTGTGTCGCTTATTTTAATGAATGAAAGAAAAATATATTTTCATCTTCCACAAAAATATTTAGACATGAATTATTATCGATAATGAAAAAAAATTCATTAACTAATTATTTCAAAAGAAACAAATGATCATTTTTACAAAAATATTTTCTAAATTTTTCATTTTTTGCCAAACAAATAGGGTCTAAAATTTTTGTCAACGTGATAAAAGATTTGAATAATTAATTTTATAATTAACATAATTAATATATTTTTATTACATTAATCCTAAGTACTTTTTCTTGCACCGGCGCAACTCAACCTTTTTATTTAACACAGAGCTTGAAATGGATTATAATTTACGATTTTTTATATATTAATCCTAAGTACTTTTTCTTGCACGGCGCAATTCGACCTTTTTATTTAGGATTAATACCGCGAAAAATTCCAAACTGGTACGCTTGTAATAATTTTACCCCAAACTAATTTTTTGATCACTAAAAACCCCAAACTGGTACAACTATGACAAATTTACCCTCAATTTATTTCCGTTAAATTTTACTATCAAATTGCTTTGTTAAATGACATGCGGCAATTGACGAATGTACTAATTTTATGTTTTACCTCCGTTTATCACAAACGTACCAGTTTATGATTTTTTGTGATATTAATTCAATTTAATGGAAACTAACGGAGGGTAAATTTATCACAAATATACTAGTTCAGGGTTTTTTATGGTCAAAAAATTAGTTTGGGGTAAATTTATCACAGCTGTATCAGTTTGGGATTTTTCATGGTAAAAAAATTAGTTTTTGGTAAATTTATCACAGATGTACTAGTTTGGGGTTTTTCGTGGTATTAACCCTTTTATTTAACACAAAGAACTAAAAGCTTACAATGGATATAATTTTGGATTTTTATGATATTAATCTTAAGTAATTTTTTTCTTTCACTCGCGCAATTCCACCTTTTTATTTAGGGTTAATACCACGAAAAACCCTAAATTGGTACACTTGTGACACATTTACCCCAAACTATTTTTTTGACCATAAAAAACCCCAAACTGGTACACCTATGACCAATTTTATCCTGAACTATTTTTTGACCATCAAAAACCCTAAACTGGTACACCTGTGACAATTTTACCCTGAACTTATCACAAAAAACCCCAAACTGGTACATATGTGACAATTTTACCCTGAATTAAAATTTTAATATTATTTTATTTATTTTTTCCGAATTTTTATTTATTTTATTTATTTATTTCCTTTTATTTTTTTCTTCATCTTTCACCTCTGGCCGGTCGTCGGTCCGGCGACCGGCCAGAGGCGGACGCCGCCGAGGGCGGCCCTCGCCAGCGTCGGGCGAGGGCCACCCTCGCCAGCGTCGGGCGAGGGCCGTCCTTGCCAGATCCGGCAAGGGCGACCCTCACCGGTATCAGGCGAGGGAATCCCTCGCCTGCGTCGGCCGAGGGCCGCCCTTGCCGGCGTCGGGCGAGGGCCGTCCTCGCCAGATCCAGTGAGGCCGACCCTCGCCGGTATCGGGCGATGGCTTCCCTCGCTGCGTCGGGCGATGGCTTCCCTCGCTGCGTCGGGCGAGGCCGCCCTCGCCAGGCATCGGGCGAGGGCTCTCCTCGCCCGCCCGAGGCAAGGGCGACCTCGCCCGGCTCGATCCGAGGGCGACCCTCGCTGCGTCGGGCGAGGGCCGCCTCGCCGGCGTCGGGAGAGGGCTATCCTCGCCCGCCCGGGCGAGGGCGACCCTCGCTCGACGCGGTGAGTGGTCGCCCTCGCCCGGATCCGCACAAGAGGGCAACCCTCGCTTTGGGTCGGGCGAGGGCCGGCGTCGGGCGAGGGCCGTCCTCGCCGCCGTCGGGCGAGGACAGCCCTCATCCGACGCCGACGAGGGTCGCCCTCGCTAGATTCGGCGAGGGTCGCCCTTGCCGAGTCGAGCGAGGGCGGCCCTCGCCGGCTTCCGCCTCTGGCCGGTCGCCGGACCGGCGACCGGCCAGAGGTTGAAATTGAAGAAAAAAAAAGAAAAGAAACAAAAAATAAAAAAATTCAAAAAAATTAAAAATAATATTAAAAATTAGTTATGGGTAAAATTGTCATATGTGTACCAGTTTGGGGTTTTTTGTGGTATGTTCGGGGTAAAATTGTCACAGATGTACCAGTTTGGAGTTTTTTATGGTCAAAAAAATAATTTGGGGTAAATGTGTCACAAGTGTACCAGTTTAGGGTTTTTCATGATATTAACCCTTTTATTTAACATGAATAACTTAAAACTTTACGGTGAGATTAATTTAGAATTTTTAATGATATTAATCCTAAGTACTTTTTTTTATTGCATTCGCGCAATTGGACCTTTTTATTTGACACAAAAGAACTCAAAACCTTACAATGGATAATAAGTATCGACAAGAATTAGCATATTACTTTTCCAAAAAAAATTAAATTTCAAAATAGTATTCTTCATTTACGAACTTTGAAAGAAAAAGGTTAGAATTTGCTTAAAAAGGCAACTATGCTCAAGCGGAACTGCGAGCACGCCAGTTAAAAATTGCTCAACACTTAGTTGGCACTAGCATGTCATTTCGCTCATGATCAACTTTATCAACTAGAGATTAAAGCGGTTCAAGGGTTTGCAACACAAATAGGAATAACAACCATCATATGTCACGGGCCTGATAGATTCTTGATCGCGAAATGGCCGGTGCAGCACCTAGTGACCTGAGATACCAAGCCG